AAAAATTATTTACAAAGCACTTTCTGTCCTTCCCCACAGTTTTTCAAGGAGCTTTTGGCAATATTAAATACAGAATTGTGGGACATCCCAATGTAAGTGGCTGTTTTAGACACGGACTAACACAGATCTCCCTGAAGAGTAAACTTTGAGGGGGAACAAATTAAAACTTGAAAATGCCAGCCCCCATCATCTCTTATTCGTTTACAGGTTTAGAATATTTAAACCTATTGAAGAGGTTGTGGTTTGGGGTTCACAGAACGTGTTCTATTTCTTAACAGCCTGGGAACCTTAGAGACTGTGAAAAACACCCGGACCAATCCAGTTTTCTCTCGTGCAGGCCTATAAGTTCTCAGAACCTCTCCAGTCTGAGGTTGGAGCCAACGCTGCTGCTCTTGGGCTGGGCAGATCTCCTTTAGAGCACGTTTTATCGATGTCACCACCACAGGGCAACTAGAGGTGAGTAAAAACCTGTCTCCCTAACTCAGACTGCAGTCAGGAACTGCAAGCACTGCAGTGAATGTTAAACGCCTTAAGCTTTGCTATCAGAGCAGAAGCCCTGCAGACGTGCTCTCAATTAGATCCTACCTCTTTCTGGTTCTCCTCAAACTTGGCAAAGGCCACGTACAGGTGCTCATCCATGTGCTCCTCCCCGAAGAACTCCACGGCCCTCTCGTACACCTTCCTGGCGTGGGCGAAGTAGCTGTGCTTCTCCTCGAAGCGAGCGTACTTGATCCAGTTCTTCACGTCGGGGTGAACCAGCACGAGTGCAGCTCTGGTCAAAGAAACAACAGCAGCAGCCACCTCCCAGCAGGGAGCACTAAGTGCAGCTGGGAAGGAGGCACTGATGGGCCTAAGCTTCTCAGTGGCCTCGCTGAGAACTTGACAAAGGGACGGGGGTCAGGGAAAATCTGGGGAGAAACCCGAAACAAGTGATGGCTGCCAAAGAGCTAGTGCAGTTAAACAGACACTGCTGAGGCAGGACCTGCAGCCACTGCACTCAATCTGGAGGCTTTCCCCACACGTGCTCCTGCCAGCTCATTCCCACCACACCACAGTGAAAAGGAACACAGGGACGTGGCTGGATATGGAATACTTGGGAAGGAAATAAAACACAGAGACCTTAACCTGGGCATGAGTCACAAAGCTCTGAAAAGGATATATCTCTCGTAAATGCTTCGTGCTCTGTCCACCTCCTTGTATCTGAGCTCAAAGTTGATGTAGGAGTGCCAGGCTTGCTCCTCTGGCTGCCACTCCATCCACCGTTCAAACACCTGGCGGGAGCCAGCAACATTGCCCAGCATCTCCTCCATGTACGTGTACTTGTACCTGGGGAAAGCAGACGGAGTTTCTGCAACCATGTGCTGAACATTCAGGGATCTCTGGAGTGCTTCCTAACAGCATCCCTGAGCTTCCCATCTCTCCTTCCTCCCAGCCCAGAAACGCCTGTAGGCACAGCAGTGACTGGCAGCATCCAGGCACACGAGCACCCTTCTCTACCAAGGCTCTTGCCGCTTAAAAAGTACAAAACCTTTCCAAAACTTCAGCCTTCCTCCTTTTTTTTTCCAGACTAGCCTGAAGACTTGGAGAAACAGGATAATCTGCAGATGCCGTGGGGTGTGTGGGGCTAGCAGGGGGGGCTCCCTGCTGTGCCACGTACCAGAATTGGTTCACCCTGGGCAGGGTGGTGATGGCCCGGTCCCAGATGTTGCGGGCGTGGTTGACCTGGCGGTTCTTCATCTCCATCTCGGCATACTTGAGCCAGAGGGTGACGTTCCTGTAGTCCACGTCCAGGGCACGCTCGTAAATGGAACGGGCTCTGGAAAACACGGGGACAGGCCGGGTCAAATGTGCCCCCCAGACCTCGGTGTGTGTCTAAAAAAGGCTCCCGAGAGACGCCTGCATCACCCTTACCTCTGGATTTCCTTCAGGCTTTCCTCCCATTGTGCGTACTTTATCCAGTTGCTGATAACAGTCCTGTTCTTCCTGATGTTATCTTCAAAAGTCTGAGGAGAAAATTACATCTGGAAGTCAGAAATCCTTCTGCAGACCGTTCACATCAAAAATGGCTCACAGCACACTATTATAATATAATCATCAGGAACATGCTTGCTTTGCCTAGGCATTTTCAAAGGAAAAAGCCAAGCAAAAACATGGGTAAATCTGCACAAGCTAAGCAACTATCTTAAAAGATTTATAACTCAGCGTTACTGCAACGTTATTTACTTTCTTTGTTCATGTTCTTTTATAGTGGCTGGCCAGATACTGGTGGTAATGAAAACACCTATTAATTGAGTAAATAATGGCCCTTTCAGTGTTCTGAACGTGGGCACGGGGGAGATGCTGTTTGCTACCAGATTCTGTCGAGCCACGCATCAGTAAATCACAGGTTCTGCCGCAGGGTAGCATGAAAAAGGGGTTTTAAAGGACTGCCGTCCACCCGGAAATTCCGCAAGGAACACGGGCTACATCTCGTTTAAGTTAAAAACGGTGGGAAAAAAAACAGATCAAACCCGTTTTGTTTTTACTGTACCTTCCTCTTCCGGAGTTTATAGTCGTTTAACTCTTCAACATCGGTGATCTTCTGCTGCGGAGGCGGTGGGAGAAGCTCGAGCTCCCTCTCCTTTGCCTCTCTCAGCAGCTGCTCCGCTGTGATCTGAACTTCGGCGGGCGCCTTGTTTTTCACCTGCAAGCCAAGCGCAAGGAAGGCTCGGTCCCGTTTCCTAACGCAGCACCGGGACCGTCCCTTTCCCCCCCGGCGCCTCCTACTCGCGGTCCCCGCCGCGGGCGGCGCCGGAGCCCGCCGGGACCAGCCGGGACCAGCCTGCCCGGGGCCAGGGGGGATCGCGGGGTGCCGGGGGTGCTGCCGAGGGGTCCCCACCGCCCTCCCCGCCGCCCACCTTGGCCACTTTGGGGATGCGCTGCTTCCCGGCCGCCGTAGACGCCATCTTGCCGCCGCCGTGCGCGCAGGCCCCGCCCCGCCACCCCTGACCTCACGCAGCGCCGCCCGAGCGTCGTTGCCGCGGCAACGGCGACGCGTCCCCCCCGGGGACGGCGGGCGGCGGCACCGTCCGTGCGGCCCGGCGGCTCATCGGTCCGCATCAGTCCCGTCTGTCCGCTCCTTGGGACACAGGGGGCGCGGCAGGTGAGTGAATGCGCGGCAGGTGAGTGAATGCCCGTCAGGTGAGTGAGTGCCCGGCAGGTGAGTGAGTGCCCGTCAGGTGAGTGAGTGAGTGAGCGCGCGGCGCCCCCTGGCGGCTCGGTTGGCGGGGGTCCGTCCGCGTGCGGGGGGCGTGGCCCGTGCGCCTGAGCGGGGCGCTCGCGCGCGGGGTCCGTGAGGCGGCCCCGGCGGGGTCCATGGGCAGCTCGGTATCCAGCTCCGGTATCCAGCCCCGGGATTCAGCCCCGGGATCCAGCCCCGGGATCCACCCCCTAGCCAGCCCCCGCTCCACCCCGCGGTACCGCCCCGGCTCGGTTCGGTGCCGCCCCGAGTCGCCGCGGGTGCGCCTCAGGAATCGCCCGCATCCCTTCACTGCGCTCCCGACTAGGTACGTACGCGTTCGGTGCGTTTCGGGCCACAAACTCCAAAAAAAAAACCAAACAAAAAACAGCGTGGAACTTTACCTGTGCTCCAAGAGAGCGTTTGTGTGGAAAGGAGGAGGGGAGGGAGCTGCTCCGAATTCGGGAGGGCAGCGCCGTCCTCCGCTTGTTCTGCCGGGTGTCTCTGGGACGAGTGCGGGAGTTGTTGCAGGAGCAGCGCGTTTCCTCACGAAAACGGCACATTTTTACTGTAAAAACGGCACATTTGTGCTGTGTAAACGCTGCTTTCGCTCCCTGCAGCCTGCGGCAGTGTTTACGGGAGATGGGGGGGTGTGTATTTATTCATGTTTTTGCGTTCACTGGCTGTGAGAATGTGGCAAGCGGTTTTTCCTCCGTGCCGGAGCCCAGGCGGTGAGCGGCGCTTTAAATCCGTGTTAGTTCTCGTGTTTGAAACTGCCGCGTGTTTGTACGGGCTGTGTTCATCCAGGGTAATTTCAGGACCCGCGCTGGCGCTGGAATGTTTTGTTTGTCTGTGAAAGACAGACGCTGTAACTTTTATCTGTATTTAAAAGCTGCGAAAATCTGCGTTTCTTTCGGTTTTCCGTTTTAGTTGGGGAGTGCGGTGCCTAATAGGAGAGCGTCACATTTGGGTTTGGAGTCACTGTTGGAAGTGTTTGGCAGTGGCGGAATTGCTCTGCTGGTTTCGGTATGTTTGGTTTTTGTTGTTGTTATTTTATTTTTTTTTTAAGTACTGGTATATTTTTCACATATCTTTAAGAAATTGTCGGTTTATTTCGTTGTTGTTCCGGGTCACAGCAGGCTGCAGTGGCGAGCAGAGACACTCAGCTGCAAGGTGTTGGAGCCGAGGGGATGGGCACAGGTGCTTTGAGGAGCTGCTGCTCCCTGTGCTCTCAAGTTTCTGGGCGGATCACTTGTGCCTGCCGCAAGTTGTCAATGCAGAACCACGAAAAACTCCTTTTTTTTTTTTTTTTTTTTTTCCCCCCTTACTTTGAGTACCAACTTTATATTCCCTCTGACATTTAAGCCCTGCTGTCGACCTCGAAAAACACTCGAGGTGCAGTTTTGGACAAAATACAGTTAGAAGCTGCTGTTTAATCGGGATGTCGTTGCCCTGGTTGTTGGTACCTGAGCCTCCAGCCTGGTTCCCCTGACTATCCACAGCTGAGCCTCCCACTGAAGGCTGCGAGTTTGAAGTTCGTGGTGATGAACTGGTTAGCACGCAAATGAATAAACTGGAAAGCAGCTGTAGCTCATTAAAACAAAAAAAGCTGTAAAAAACCTGTAGGATGCATTGTACAGGCAGTGTGTATCTGCGTGGAGGTATGCGGGAACCAGGCACCAAAATCCATAGGAGTCGTCACCTGGCGTGGCAGTGCTGGGCAGGGGGTGGCAGCGGGGTTTTCCTCGGAGCAGCCGTGTTTTCCTTGGTTCTCAGTGCAGCCTGGCATGGCCACGGTCACCTCCTGGAGGGGGGACACGGCGGTGGTGACGGCCAGGAGGACAGAGCCGCACGATGTCCCGGGCATTATCGCCCTCTTCAGCCCCGAGACAGAAGAGCTCTTCGGAAGGATGGATGTCACTTACCTCCTGTAAGTAACGGTGTCCCGGGTTATCTCCTTCCAAACAACCACACTCACAATGGCAGCAAACACTCTGAGCCTTGACATGGTGTGACATAATGACTTTTTGTGCTGTTTCTAAAAAAAAGGAAAGAAAATCTCCTTTCGTGTCTGTCACACATGCGTGACTGAAAACCTGGGTCCCTGCCATGGTGGATAAGGTTTAATTCTAGACTGGCTTCCTTTTGTCAAAGCTCAGAAGAAATGCTGTTAAATAGCACCTGATAAAGCTGTCAGCAGACAGGCTGTGTGACAGATACTGGTGCATCACTTACCTTCTTCCCTCTTAATAGCAAAAATCTCGGATAACAGCTGTTTGGGGGGAAAAACGAGGTGTGTGGAGAAACATACAAACAGAAGGGAATGTGTAAGTCTTGCATCTCAAATTTACTAATGCGATTGAGGATTTGAAAATCCACCTGAGTTTTTTATCATGTCAGAACACATATGTGTGGAACTGAAGCAACAATATCAAGTTAGCATGTGGATGATGAAATTTTCTTGAGGCCTGATCCCGGGAACCTTTAAATTGTTTTCACAGAGAATTATCAAATCTTGCTTTGACACTCTGCAATGAGAAGAATGAGGTTTTAGCCCATGCTGCCTTTCTGGACTATCCGAATTGGAACATCACTGATCAGGCTGAATGGGAACCATTCCTGCATAGAAACTACACCAACAATAAGTGCACTGTAAGTAAATGGTGTGACTGTAGTGGGCTTTTGGTTTAAGGCTCAGGTATGGGAAATAGACGTGGGCATCTGCAGTCTGTTTCCAGTAAATGTGAGGCATTCGGGATGCAGAGGGTGATGGATTCCCTGTGAAAACCCCCGTGCTGGCTATGGACTAGAAACAGGCCCCCTTGTAAGTTTAGCACTCCAATCTCCCCCATCACCGAGTCCAGCTGGGAACTAGACCGCGGCATAGTCGGGAAACACAGAAAGCATTTAAGCCACTCACCCGCAGGGTGGGCAGCTCACACCATGGGTGTTGATAGTGCTGCGCTTATCTCCGGGCGTTTTGTTCTTTGGTTTCCAGGATCTTCTGCCGCGTGAAACAATGGCTTGGAGGTAAACTGACAAAAGCAGCGTTTGAAAATGTGTGCTCCTAAAGGGAGCACCATCAGTGCAGCCATAGGGAGTGTACAAAAAGCACCGAGATTTCCTCGTAATGGACTTTGTTCGTCCCTTGAGTGGCACTTTGAGGTGCAGCTGCTCCGGGGCTTCTGCTGGGCTCTCACCTCCCTCGGGCTGTCTGGTGGCTCCGCAGAGTCTGGTCATGGCCCTGCAGAGAAAAGACACGAAAAATAAATTGCTGCTCAGCTCCAGTAGTGAATGTACCTTGAAACAGGCAGCAGAGCTCTTATTTTTCTAGAATGGAGTTGATTTGCTAAAGATTCAGCGTTTTATGCCTCTGCATTGGTAGAAGCTCTGAATGTTTTCTGCGGTATAACTTGATGAGATGTCATTGGTAAATAGCAGGTTAAAACCTTGCAGCCGTGCTTTTCAAAACTGAGATCATCTGAACAGAGGATTTCTGTGAAGTCAGTTGACTCTTTCCTAGAGCACAGAAACAATTTCAGGGTCTGGAGTGGGAGTGGACTTGTGCAGAAAGGAATGAGTGGAGATGCTTTACTGGATTGGCTGGTCACCAGCACTATTCAGAAACAGTCCTAGTCCAAGTCTGGTTTGCTTGGTGTCCTCTCAGACCTCAACAGTAATATATATTGTTTAATTTCTTCCTTTTGCTTCTAAAAAACAAACAAACTGCCCGATTTTTTGGGATGTCTTAACATTTATATTTTTTCTTGCTACCTTTAAAGAAACAACACTTTAAGATTATGAGAAGCATGTGAGCTTTTGGTTTGAGGGGTTTTTTTAAACCTAGAAAGAGTATCTTTGTCAGACACATGTGGAGTGTGTAATATGGTTGAATGTTGTTAGTTGAGAGTTAATACAGTTCAATATGAAATGTAGAGTGTATATTGCAGTCAAACTATGGTAAACTTGAGTAGAAAGAAAAAAAGTAGCAGAAGCACAAAATGATATAAAAGCACTTTATTCACGTGACTTTACCCACACATGCTTTGAAGTCAGGTATATTTTGGTGCTCCTTGAGTGCAGATCATGTGTGTTGGAAACGTGTATGGACTAATACTTGGGCTGATGGAATAAAGGTGAGCTGCATGGTGTGTAGACTTGTACTCCTCATTTTGTAGCCTTTGAACACTCTCTTCGTGCATCTCTTCGTGGCAAAAGAAGAATATGCAGCTGGGTGTTCCCAAGAAATTGTTAGGTGAGTCCCTGTGTAGCCTTGGGTAGTGAAGTTCTGCCAGCAAAGGCCTGGTATCTTAAATATTTCACCTCTGGGATACTGCTGTGAGAAAGAGAATGTAAAAAAGAAATGTAAAGATTGGGAAAATTGAAATAAGTGAGGTAGGACAAACCAGTCAAAATTACCCAGATGAATTTCACGTGATACTGTTTGTCAGAAATGTTTTTATTGTTGAGCCATGTGGATTTATGAATGAAGGTTAGAGACACTGGAGAAAAAAAATGTATCTATTAAAAAACTAGCTGCTGTCTGTCATTGATGGGGGTAATGATGAAAGACTGAATGTGTTTGTGATTTGTCCAGGAGCGCTTTCATCTTGCTACCAGAACTGCAGTTTATCCTTCTCTTTGTACCACCTGAGGAGAGGTTAGGTAAGAATTTAATACTGTTTTATTCTTGAAGTGTGAGCAATTGCAAACCTAATTAATATCCACTGTGAGCTCCTCGTGGTGTTCTTTTTTTTTTTTGATACTGAGAGCAGTTATCAGTTTCTAGACATGTGGAAAACATAATCTAAAGGTATGCAAGAGGTACCTGTGGTTCCATGCTCACTCCAGCAGCCATTCAGCAGTCTGTCCATTCCCTGCAATCTTAAATTTGCCAGAAACAGGACATCAGAAAGGAGTAAAGAGCTCAAAAACCAATCCCTACAAGTTTTGTAAAAATTTCTGGTTGAATAGAGCCAAGAGATTTGAAATTGGGCACTTTCTCTTAGTTAGCCAGATTGGAAGAGGACACTTTGGTGAGGCTCAGAGAGGCTGCTGGAGACATGGAAGAAAACTCTCATGATTTCTTTTAGAGCAGAGATACAAAGGTAGGGAATACAGGTGTTAATCAGAGAACAGCACCAGACTTGGAGTTTTGGTCCTGAATTCAGACTAATAAACCAAGCATGCACTTAACTGAGCTGAGAGGGGAGCTGGAACTTTTCTGATCTGCCAGCTATTAGACATGTTGGTTCCAAGTCACACTGAAAAACTAGTGGTGTGTCAACAACAGAAAACGGGGCTTGAATGAAGGGTTTTGTCAAATCCACCCTGGCAACCAACATCAGCTTCCCTTCAGCACTGTGAGTTCTGACAGAGTTTCCCTAGAGGCATGGAGAATTGGCTGTATTATTTTTATAGGGATTGGATTCGACCAGCTTCTGATTGCTTTGAGGCTTATTCAGGTTTGGGATGCTGGATTAATTAGCTGACTTTGGTGATGATGATCACATGCTCATACTGCTGCCTTTTCAGCCTCATTGCCCAACTTTAAAGACTTGGTGCATTTTACTTCTGTGGTTTAAGTTTGAAACTCTATTTTCCTCGGAGAGTTTTGCTGCTAATTTAAGTCCTGCTTAATGAAGTTTCTCTTTTGGCCCTGACAGGATTTAGCCACGCAGAGCTGGACATGGGGGATGTCTTTGAAAGGATGCTGCCTGTTGCAGGCTCACCCATGGAGAGAGGTTTCACCTTGCTGAAGTGCCCCAGGCAGAGGTGCCACCCGCAGCTGGACGTTCGCCAAGCCAGGTAAGGCAGCTCCTCCTGTGCTTCCCTGAGCACACCTGCCTGGGGAAATGAGGCATTTCCCTTCTTGGGTTTGCAGCATCACTACCTTAGCCTGACTGCTCTGTTTCTGTCATAGCCAAAATTGGGAGTTCTAGGATTAGGCTGCTTTTCTTCTGCTCCATCACAAGATCTATTTTTTTTTTTTGGAAAGCTAGTTAGCTATGTAGGAAGGCTGTTTGTTGTCAGTGATGTTTATTCTGTGATCTGCTGGCTAAATTAGACCATTGGGTATTCCAGGCAGTGCACGTGGTTTCCAGGTTTCTTGAAGCCTCTTACAACTTGTTTTTAATTTTCTCACTATCTCATGCTGAACAGCCAAGCAAAGCTTGACTAGGAAAGCCTGTTACCTTAAAGAAGTAAATAAGACCAGAGAATGAATCTGCAGCTTGTGTTCCTCCTGTTGCTCGACTTTGGAGCATATTAAGAAAAAGACCCGAGGCCTGACCTTTGCCACTTCACATCCTCCTGCTGTAGCTCTGGATATTTCAGTATGTTAATCATACTAGCTCGATGGACAATTGGTAGGCTTTTTGAGTGTTTCTTTTAAGTCTACCACCTATCACTAAGTGAATGGACTTTTATACAGACAAGGTGTCAGTAGGTGAGTTAATGCCTGAAGATTTAAAGGGTTTCCATATGTCTTAGTTCTGACTATCATATTTGTCTTTTTTTTTCAGTTTAAACTGGTTGTTTTGTTTTTTGTTTTGTTTTGTTGTTTTTCTGGTTTTGTTTTTGGGTTTTTTTTTTTGGTGGCCATTGGATATTGTCAATAGAAATGTTCTTTTGCATGACTGGAATTGGCACTTAGGCCATAGCAATATTCCTGATAAGAGCTACCATCTTGTCTGGGATTTTGGTAGTTAGTTATAAAAAGTAAAAATTGCTTTAACTTTGTTATTATTAGAAGATTAACTGGGAAAGTGGTTTTCCTCTGGAATTCCACAGTGGTGCTATAGAATTCATCCTTGAGCACTGTCCCTCAGTACATAGGGGGTGAAGCCAGTTTCTGTTTGCAGCAGGAGCTCTGCCTTTCCCTTCTGCATTCACCTCTGTGCTTCACTGGCATCCATAGTAACAGGAGCAGAGCCCCTGGAGACTCCCCTGTGCATTGGTCCACCTGCCTAGCAACGTGTTCTGGGGCAGGTTGGGGTAATCTGTCCCCTCTTCCCCTGTTTACAGAGGGGAAAAGCAGCTGGGAACTGATCCTTTGTTTAACTGTCCCTTTCCAAGTTACTCTCCCTTTGGCCTCTATAATGTGAGATGTCAGCAGTGTGCCTGAATGCAGCCCACTAAACTTGGATGTTGAAGGTTCTTGCTGGTGTCTTGTCTAGATCCTGCCATTCTTGGCTTTGTGCCCTGTAGGCAAGAGTTAAATTTGCAGCTCTGTGCTTGTGCTCACAGTAGAGGAATTTCGTAGCGTTTTTCCATTGGAAAGCCTACTGGAGTTCCCAGGGTTTCTTTACTTTTTAAAAGACTATGGTACAGCAAAAGCATCCAGAGATCCTCTGACCACCTCTCCTGAGCTGGAGTCAGGCAGTGCTTGGGAACTCGGAGAGTGTTTGATACAGTGACAAACAGAACCTCTTTTGCCCAGTTGTGTTTTCTTTAAGGCTCCTTCCAAATGCAGAAACACGTGAAGAGTGGCACTGAGAATTTGTTTATTGTTTCTGGGTTCCTGCCTGTGCAGAGCAATGATCTCCAACTTACAGCAATCCCATACAGGCAATTCTCTACCTGAGCAGTGGGACCCTGGAACGAAAAGGGAGCTTTGCCAAAACCTGGCAAGCTCTGAAGTTCTGGTTCTTCCTACAGCAGCAGCTTTGTGCATCCCTGACAAGTGAGGGAAGAACTGCAGGCCAGTCCCGGTTCCTGTGCAGGAAGAGGAGGAGGAGATTTGTGCATCCAAAGCAGGAGAAAGAGCTGCAGGCTGGTCCTGGTTCAAGTGCAGGAGGAAGAGGAGCTTTGTGCATGCCAAGGAGGTGAAGAAGAAACTGCGGTTCTGTCGTGGCTCCTGTGCAGAAGGAGGAGGAGGAGCTTTGTGAATCCCAAGTAGGTGAAGGAGCCGCGGGCTGGTCCTGGTTCATGTGCAGGAGGAAGAGGAGGTTTGTCCATCCGAAGGTGAAGAAGGAGCCGCGGGCTGGTACTGATTGGTCTGCAGGAGGACAAGGAGGAGGAGATTTGTGCATCCCAAGCAGGTGAAGCAGCCGTGGGCCGTTCCTGGTTCAAGTGCAGGAGAAGGAGGAGGAGGTTTGTGTATCCCAAGCCGGTGAAGAAGAACCCGCGGGCTGGTCCTGGTTCAAGGCCAGGAGGAGGAGGAGATTTGTGCATCCCAAGCGGGTGAAG